GTTTCATGACCACATGAGCACAGGATCATTTTCGAATTGCAAACCATTGTCCTGTATTCATATACGACATTTGTGGCCATTGCACGCAGGCTAGGTTATGCGAATTTACCGCTAGGCGTCCTAGCGAGAGTCCATGCCCCCTTCCATTACTACCCTTACGGCCAACTTCCTTCTGCTTCTTTCAGCTGTACAACGAGTCATTTATGGTAAAAATCATCAAAACAAAAACTATGCAAGCAAGTCCGCCAACTCCTTTCGTGCGGTGTACAACAATCCAACAGATTCCCAATAGCATGTTTCTCTCTTTCAGCAACTTTCCCAAGCAAGCCATGAATGCGACTGTGGTCGTTTCCATGCGACATGGATGACTAATCAGTCAATTGCAAAGGTTTTCTATCAAAGGCAGAGAGGAAACCTCATCTTCCTATTTTCAGATCATTGCCATTTGCGATTCAGTCGCCCATCATTGAGCACTTCCAATTTCGAGCTTCGAAGTTCGCCACAGGATGCATGTGCTCAAGAACTGTGCAGCACTGCCGATGGTCAACTCTTCCCGCAGGTTCACGCCTCCCAATACGGCAGGCGACTCCCGTAGCCAGCTCGAGCCATTCCAAAATGGAAGTGCAAGGAGCAACGCCAAGGGAACCAAAGTTAGTATGGGATGGGAAGACGTTCCCGGCACCTGGAGACATTGCAGGGACGGCGGCGCAGACCTCCACGGAGATACCGGCGGGATGGGAAGTGGGCATCAAGGAACCCACCTTAGGACCGGGAGTGAAGCTTGTGGGCGGGCGGTACAGATGCGTGGGACCGCGGGACCAGAAAAACCCATGGACCGCGCGGCAGCGTGCACAGGATCGGAGACTGGAGACAGAAACCAAGCTGCTGGGAGGCCGGCTGACGTCCATGTACCCTGAGTCTTGGCCGCACTACAGGAGTCAGCACTCGGCGGGCGAAGGGGGAGGTTTCGCAGGTGTCAGCGCTGTGTGTGAGGAAGCGTCGAACGGTGCCCCTTGGAACGCGGGGAGCACTCTGCGGGAGGAGGGGTTCAAGGAATACGAGTTGAGGGCCAACTTTCTGGCCAAGACGGGCAAGTGGGAAGCTGCTCAGCGACTGGCAAAGTCGGCGACCACGGGCGGATGGGCGGGGCAGGAAAGGGATGCGCAGGCGGGGGGCGAGGGACGCAGGCAAAGCAAGGCCGGAGGTTGCAGAGTCGGTGGTGCCGAGTTCGATGATTCGGCGATGGCCGGATTGCATCCCCCAATTTTGCCATGGCAGACGGACTACATGACGAATTTTTTGGCGGGAGAACAGGAGATACATTCCCCTCACGGGGGCACCAAACTGCGAAAGCAAGGGATGGGGTGCGTGGGAGATGGCGTCACGGGGTCAAAGGCAGACGATTGGCGTACGAGTCAAGAATGCCTGTCCCCAGCGTTTCTCAGAGAAGAGACTACCAAGGAGTGGGAAGTTGGGGATGGAGATCAAGAGCACAAGAGCAGCACAGAGGATAGGGTTCAACGACTGGACACCTTACAGCTCCCGAATTCTTGTATGGTGCATGAGAATGGAGCTTGCAAGGCTGCAATAGTTGAGCAAACGCCAGAGTATGGTGCCGCTGATGGATACTTAAATGGCGCGGGACGCCGATCATCTCCCAGCAATGGAGACGCCGTCCTGGAGAGGCAATCGAGGAAACAGACTCCTGGTGGTGGAGGTGCGGCGATTGTGCGCCCCACATTCCACAGCCGTCATCACATTGATTACGTCAACACAGGGACGTAATTGCGGACGACAACTGAGGCATCGCAATCACCACTTGAGGTGCAACGACGACGTAGCGTCCCTCACTTTCGTTTTTCGTTCGTGTGGGGAGCTGGCGACATAACCACGTCCAGGTGTCACTTTCCAAATCTGCGCTCACTCGCGTCCAGGACGATGGAAGTAAATTGGCATAATATACAGTTCTTCTCAGATTTGATGATGCCTTCACTGACATGTCAGACAGAGATTTGGAAGTGGCAGAGCGGCTTCGGGTGCGAAATTTGCAGAGACTGCAGAGGATCCTCGGTTATTTTGTTGCCTATTTGTTCGCTGTTGATGAGCACTTGTTTCTGTGGAAGGTTCGCATCATCTCAGCTCTACAGGAGATAAAAGTCACGCATGGGGATTACAAAGGGAAAAAAATCGCAAACATGAGCGCATGACACTTGACTCATGTTAGTTGCCAGACTCATAATTTTCTGATCAAGCGCATGTTCAATGCAATGACCCCAGCATGCATAGTGATCTCGTGCTTGCATCTTACAGACAACGCTGCATCACTAATATGGGAACACATGCAACAGAATCCTGGATTTCAACGGACTAATTTTGTCCCAAGACAGAGATTTCCCCAGATGCCATTTGTCAATTGCTGTACGCCAGCACCCATCCAGTGCGTCATACTGCACTGTAGCACAGTTTGGAGGAGACTTTGGTCAATTTTGGCCCGTGAGAATCCGCACATGTGCACATGCACCCGCGTTTCATGAGAAGAGCAGCTGCCCTGCCCCACGTGTCTTGCCCGGTCATTTAGCGGATCTGAGGATCACCTAAGACGCCATGCGTCGCTCATAATTAGGCGTGATGTTGCCAGATCCAAGGCGTGCCTTTGGATCGCTTCATGCGCTGATTCGGCGCCTTGCAATGCTAGCAAGTGTTGGCAAAATAGTCGCTGTTTTTGCATTTTGAGAGCTGTCTTGACATCACATCAATGACCATCAGCGCAGCTCTGAGGGTGTGCCGTGCATTTGATGCGCGAAGTCAATCACGAATTGTGGTCCCAGGTAAAAGGATTGCAGGCCAGTTTCCCTCTGGTATTTGACCAACATTTGCGCGCTGGCTATTCGATGTAGTAACCACAAAGTGGTGGATCACCAGCTCTTCTTATATAACATAAATTCTGGCATCCGAGGTTCCCGTGTCGGTGTACACCATGCAGCCATGACGTCTGAATGTAGATCTCGCATCCAACCCATCATTTCAATCCAGGAAACGCCTTTTTCATCCAATGCACTTTGGTTCCTTGCTGGTAAGGTGGAAATCTGCTTAAGATTCGTCCCGTCGTCCAAAGCCTGCATTAAATGCACAGGACCATGACGGTGGATTTCACATTCGCATCTATTGCAACGGTCCCAGAACGCGCTTCAAGATTTTCGAGTCTGTCCAAAGGACTATGATTTGCCACTCTTGATGGTGATTTTCGTTCAGCTCAGACACGACCACACGCACATTGTCAAGGGGGTTCTGGCCTCCATAATTCTGGGCCCGTTTGGCTGGGTGCCTGGACAAACATTGCTCGGGTTGTTCTGCAGCCCGCTGTGTACTCCACACTCCTGCGCTTCTTCTCATCCTGAATGTACTTCGGTGCATATCCTTTCACACTTGGACACCAACGCACGCTGCTTGAGTCCAACCATGCGCCTATGCCGAAAACGGTGGTTTGGATGCGGATAGGCCGGAATCCTGGCCTTGCGGCCCATTGAAAGCTACCCTCTTCTTCGCTTATATCGACTCCCATATTATTTGTGACGCAGTTAGCCGTACGGGTATAGTACGGTGTACTACACCGTGTCTCCGCCGACCGTGTCTCGGACCCCGTCTCTGGGCGTCTTTGCAGGTCTAGATCGCATCCACACCTGAACGCGGCTTGGCGTCAAGAGCGACAAAATTGAATTGATGTCATCTGACTAAATGGAAAACTGTCGTTTAGTATGAGAAGTACTTTTCGCAAATCTTCTTGCAGGACAACTTGCCCTGAAGTGAAATTCATTGCAGCTTGCAGCATTCAGCGGGCAGCGGGCGGCATTCAGAATGCATTACTCTGTACAGATTGGCGAAGCCTCCATCTACGGGGATAATGTGTAATTCGATTCAAAACTGTCACCACAACAACCTCATGTACCTGTTACTTGTCTGCAAGCACTTTTAATGCAATCAATGCCTTCAGCAGGCTTGGTATTTGCGTTCATGTTTGCGTTTACGTTTTTACACGTTAAAACGCAAATTTGCGAAAGGGGCTATTTTACAGCTGTTTTCGCGTTTTTACGGCTCGTTGGGACACCCAGGTTACACGATGAAAGTCGCATACCATTATCAGTCTTCCGCCATCTCCAGCACCAGCAACACAGTGTCCAACTCGCCCTCGGCAAGGGCGACCACGGCATGGAACAAAAGTTCGTATTCTACCCATTACAGCGCGCTTGACTGCCACTGCCCGGGCTCCCCAAGTCTGTCTGTACTGCCCTTATGTACAACGTGAGAAGGTATTTACGTTGTATTTTTACGCGTAAAACCGAAAAAACTACGTTTAAGGGTAAAAACGTAAATGAGACTTGCGTTTACGACGTTATTACCAAGCGTGGCACTCAGAGCCCTCAGCCTTGGAAAAATCACTTATGGCAGCTCATGCACACGCTTTCTACTCTCGCAAACCTTCCCACATGTGCAAGCTCACAATTTCAGAGCCCACTGTACACACCGGTGCTGCAGCGCGGGCATGTTTAGTTTGTTCCTGCAGCAAACACTCTCGCATGCATTGCTTCCGTGACCTCACACAACGCGGCTACTCAGTTGACGTACCACTACTCCTCTTCCCAATATTTCACGAAGCTTTGATGCACCACTTGAAGACACGTGCTCCCAACAATGGCACGTCCTTAATCACACGGTTGCAACGGCACGCTCCGAATCGCAGCATGGAAATGCTTCTATCGCTGTTGTTCTCTTCGCTCGTGGCCAAACGCCACTTCGTGTTTTAACCTGGAGAGACCCAAACACACAGACTTGCCCACAGCCTCCGATTCCCCTACGTCCCCGTTTTAACCTGTATCACTCGCGATATCACTGACACACCGGATGTTCTTTTCAGTTCAAGACTGCTTTCTTCAGCAACTCTTTGCTTGTCAACAATCACACTTCAACGGTTAGTGTTGATCGCATCAGCGCACACCGTCTCCTTAGATTACCCTCTCCACGGTGCTGCTACCCGTCTTCTCTGGAGCGAGTTTATCCGCAGGCTTATTGGCGGGTTTTGCGCTCTCGGAGGCGATGTCTTCACCTCTTGCAGCCGTACTGCCAGCCAACCCTTTGTCCTGCTCTTCAGCACCAGGGTACTTTCCGACAGCTGCAGACCACACAGGAAAGAGGTCAGGAAAGAGAATGGGCACGAGCACGCGTTTAAATATGAATAACCTGGCAATTATGTGTTGATACAATATGTGACACACAACAAAACAGCGTAGAAGGTCGTATTCGCAGCCTTCCAGACATGCAAACAAAAGCGGACTTCGCAAGTAATATACGAAAAATTATGGACAGCGCTGATCACATTTCGACACATGATCTCGCCTTCCTGATGCTGTCAATGTGCTGCAACCATGAGCAGTCGTGCAGTAAGAAAACAACCCTGGAAGCACAGGTCGCTGGAAAGCATCCTAAACATTTTGCAATATTCGGCACTCAGCACTGCGGATGGAACGCTGTTGAGTGGGATAGCAGCATGCAGGATTTGCTTCCATCAGAAATGGCTGGATATTCTCCAGCGTGTGCCAAACTCTAAACTAACGGCACTGCATTGCAGATAACATGGCAACAGCGCATGGGTATCGCAGGTTGTGCATCTGCTGCATCCTCTCTGGCTTGTATCGGGTGGGACATTGTCGGTGTTGTATTGCTCCAATAGCGATATGGCCTGCAAGAGCGACTGGACAGGCATCCATCAGCAAATGGGCAAATCGCACAACCAAGGTTTCCACGGAAGCTCAATTGTCCACTGGCTGGAGAATCCGCAAGACATCGGCTCGCATCCAGCGGAGCTGCTGTCAATCAACTCCCTGCACCCCGAACAGCGGAAGGACACGAACGCCATCAATAAACGGGTCGCTTCGGCGAATGCTTGGTTTTTTTTTGGTCACAACTACCACTGTCACGTGGCTGGATCATGGCCGGAGCCCGTTGCTGGATGCTCCTTGGGGATATTTGGCTCACATTTACTCAGGTAGCCAGATCACGTCCGGAGGCGTCGAACCCAAGCCTGCCAACCTGCATCTTCCTGGATGTCTGCGTCTACGCCCCCGGTCTTGGCCTCCTCCACGACCTCCCCCACCGCGACAGGCTCCTGAGTCGCTTCTTCGGTACCCATTTCTTCGCCTGCCTCTTCGCGACGCTGCCATTCGTCGATGACCTTGCTGTCCGTGCCCGGTAACCCAACGTTGTGGACCTCGTTCTCGCCAGGCTGCCACTCAACTTCTTCGCCACTTTGGCGCTTCACAATGTATTTGTATTCGATGGTCTCCCTGCTCGCGAGCACAAAGGCAGCGTGGGTCAGCGAACGGCGAGGTGAACTAACGGAGCGAACGCCAGGGGAGGGCTCCCAGTCATGACCCGGTCAAGTGCTGTTCTTGAACAAAGCAAAGACGGTAGAAGCTCATTGCCTACTCTTCTGCCATTGGAAGAAAACCATGGCTGATTCAAACGGGGCACTTCAATGACGTTGCAGGCACCCTCCACCTGCGACCCTGCACCCCCAACAGCATTCCCGGGCGCAAGGCCCGCAACTCTATCCCGCGCCCCAAGATGCTCCGGGAGAACGCAAGACCAGATCGAAGATGCAACCAGACCAGTGTGCGTGCGCCCCGCTTTACGAGGCGAAGCCTGGCTACACAGGTTGCTGGGGCAAGGGTTTGGCGCGATGTACAGCGGGACAGAATTAGGTTGCCGGGCGCCCCAGCCATTGTTGGCGTCCATAATCAACGGGATTCCTGGGTAAGGGCCACTCACTTGACGGGTAGATCCACTTTAACAGTCCAGGAGTCTCCCTCAGTCCACTCCATCGCCAGGCACTTGTCGGGATCCCAGTTGCCCAGTGCTTCCGCGTCTCCCACAACGCACACCTCGTCGCCGAAATCCACGTGGCGCTCCATCTCGAACGTCACCGTTGCAAGTTCTGAGACCGATCCATTAGCGCTCCCCTTCGCCGCTGGGATCCAGAGCTGTCGCTGTGGCGCAGGCCTGGATGATCGAGCCGTGGCCCATCTGGCGGGGCCAGCCAGGACCGCTGCAGTGGCTCCCGAGGGGACGACGACGGCTGTGCATTTGAACGCCATTCTGCAACGCACAGGCATGGCGGTCAACAGAGCCGCTTGTTGGCGACACACGGGAGCATGTCGGAGGGCTTTTCGTCCTGCTGGATGCAGAACCATTCGGTGCAACGCACTTGGCAAAGGTTGTCGCGAGCAATCGACTTTGCGAAAAACACCACTGGTACGGTCACCAGCACTGGGAAGTTGATCCTTCCAGATCCGATCTTTGCTGCCTTGCTTCCAGGCCTATCTTCGGACCCACGTTTCCACTGCTGAGCGTCTGATTTCGAGTGTTATTGCTGTCGGGTACGAGCGGGAGCCTTACTATGTGGACGCAGCAATTCTTGCGAGGGCGCCAGAAAAGCTGTTGGCTTCCATATCTTCTAAACCAGGGCCGTGCGGTCCTTCAATTATGCGCCGCCTCCGCACCGAACGATCCCCGCCAACCTCAACCTCGCTTGCCTTCCCTTCCCGGGTCCAGCAACAACACCATCCCCTTTCCCCTCCCGCTCGTGGCAACGGCTTCATTCTGTCCACCAAACTTTCGTTGAAGCTATACGCTCATCCTTCCCTGCTTGACGTCTTCGTTGTCACGCGCTTGCCATTGGTGCCCAAAGCATGGAAAGATCCAGGCGCGACACCCTGGCCACAACTCATTCGACTTGCACGTCGCGCCAGCGGCCATCCGCACCGGTTGCTGATGTCTCTCGAATCTCCGGCAGGTCGTCCACCACGCTTGCCGTGTGGCTTCCGGCTGTTTGGCCTAGGGCGACCCAGCAGAAGGCGAGGGGTCGGCCAGGGCAAAGCAGAACCCACGGACGCAAACTCGTGGTTGCAGAAATATTCTGCCGATCGCGCCCATCCCAGGGACGGACAGAAACATAATTTGGAGGGGCACTGCGGGATTACGTAATCTGTGCAGCGGCCAGCAGTCCGGCTTGGGGTGTCAATATACAGTCATGGACGGATGGTGAAGCCAAATGCTGACGGTGGCCACATACGCCTTCATCCACTCTGTCCTGTCAAGTTCTGAGCTGCATCGCCAAGAGTCGACAAAGAATAGCGTCAGCACACGTAGGACACAACGATGCGTGCTGTGGCACGACGAGCCGTGGCTGTTTGACGAGTGGCGGTCGCCGCGACGCGGGCCATATCGTGAATCGTACTCCGTGCAAACGACTCCCACCCGCCCGGCCTTGGGTTGCTCTTGGCGCTGTGGGTTTTTTTCTTCCATGGCTTCCCCCACCGGGGAGTTGGAAGCGTTATGACTCATCATAGCATAATGACTTTCATTCCAAGGTTGGCCGGCCATGAACCGGCCAGATACTCCATGGAGCACGGGGTGAAACCTTTTGCATGGATTCTACAGCACTCCATTCGACGAGTTGCAAGAAAATGCCAGATTTAAGCGCACGAGCACTGTGCGTGCTAGTGCAGCTACTGACGCCTCTCTTCAAAATGACCTGGCCTGCTACTCACGTAGAGGCACCTGTTGCTATGGACATGCCTGATACAGCGCCATCTTGAAACGCTGTCCTTCAAAAGCACAGTGTTCTGTGTGCCTTCGCATGTCCCCTGCCTTCGCTCGTTGGCAAATGCGAATGGGAACAGCATCACGGGTGCCCCGCCACTTTGCATGCATGTGGCTGGCGATTTGGCCACAAAAGTGGACACATACGGTCCACATCCCTTGCGAGCTCGGACCCACACAATCCTCAAGATTCTGGACAGAAACACCAACAGATACCCTGCCGATTCACACAGAACCACTCATAAACCCCATGTAACTCGAACGATGGGAATGCCTCGGGTGCGCCATGCCAAAATCCAAACGTTTGGGACCTCAAACCGTCGGCTTTGAAGCCAAAATGTTTGGACTCATGGAGAACGCCAACAAGGTGCTTACAGCGTCACACACCATCGTTTGTTTGGGCCCGTCCCCTCCAGAATTGGACAGCGCAGCTTTGTGGCGCCGCACATGTAGTAACAGCCAACCAAAATACCCCTCAAACCTTGTGCATGTCAGCACATCAAATCTCCTTTGATCCATAAATATTTATCAATTCTGGGAGTTCACACTTGAGTTCCTCCCAACCCGTCCAATCCCCGACTGTATGTCCGTATTTGCAAATTATTACCAGTCTTTCACATGTTCATTGCGCAAACAGTGCATCACGCCTGCAAAATACAGGCTCAACCGGCAGAAAATGTCATTCCAGTCTTCTACTCTTTGGCCCATCAAGTTCAAGGACAAAATTGTCGAGCTGGAACAGCTGACGCCATGACGGTTTAGGTGACATGACGTCACCTACGCAGTAATTCCATGCCTTTCAACCCACGTCAGCACAGGGCGAAAAAAGGCCGTCTCTGACGTCCATTCACGGAACCGGTTATATCGCCATTCTGTCTGCTATTTGCCAAGAAAAACGAAACAGAAAGCATCAGGCCTAAAGGTAGAAGAGCAATGACATCACATGCCCATCGAAGTATATTTAACTACCCTGTTAATGAGTTCTGTCAAGGACAACGTTGGGTGGGCGCGCCGGCCATTCGGGCCGGGCTGCGTTTCTGGGTCGTTTCAGAGCCGATGAAATGAAACACCGGTTTCTGTCACCACCGGGTCCAAGAGGCAGCCAGGTGATCCTTGTAACCTGGGCGTAGACAAGGGGATCGGTCAAGCTCGTAGTTAAGTTTGGTGGAATGTTTGGCGGCAAGTGGGAACGGCTATTCGGGCGCGACATTTGGCGCCCCCTTTTATCTTGTTTCGCACCCACACAGCCTACCGAAATAGAGTGAGATTCGGTTAGCTGTGGGATGAAGAAGAAGTTGAGCACGAGAAAAGGGGAGCTGACTCAAGGTTCAGTTAACATCACTGTGGCATTGAGTACTATGCGAAGCGAGGGCACATTTCAAGTGGGTCGCCCATCGGGTCTTGTATTAGTGAGGTGATGGACACCAGCGCATTTGTGATTGTAATGCCTTGTCCTGGGCGGAACATGGGGATAGAAGGAGACTGGTAACGCAGAGGCATTTTTGCATCGTTTCGGGATGTTAGTGCATGTCCAGGGTTCTGTCTTTGATCATTGCAGTTGTGGTGTTGTCAGACACAAAGCACGCCGGCGTTCCAACATTTTTCTGATGGATGGCACAGGGCATCGAAGTTTGGGTTGCATCATGAACTCAATGCACGGGAGTAATGCATGCCCACAGCTGCGTGCACATTTGCCAGCGTATCACACAATATCAATGGACCATGATCATTCTCATTTCTCTGCCATCGA